GTAAAAAAAAAAAAAAAAAAAAAAAAATCACTTCTAAAGGACATTAGTCTGTCAGTCTCTGGTGGAACCACCTGCCCGCTGTGCTGCACGTGACATGTAGAACGCTGCAATCCACTTTCTCCCCCTGAAACCCCCCCAAGTAGTACGGACGGGGTCCTAACCTGAAGCCTTTTTGGGTGGCGACCCTGCGTCTTACGGTGACATTTTATTGGTATCGTTTCAATGAGAGCCGAAAGGGCCGATATCGTGCTCCACCAATCCTTTTTTTGAGATTTTAGCCACATTAAAATGTCAAGTCCTCGCCCGTTTTCCTCCCGACGCCCACCTCCGAGCTTTCCCGCCCCGTGAGTACCAGCTCCGCCCAATCCGAGAAAATGATCCGGTCCTCCGTCTCAAACGCGTACGATTGAGTAAGCCGCCCAAGTGCCGCCCCCTGCGGACGAAAACACGCGCCCGTTTCCCCTCCAGGAAAGAGGCGCGATGTATGAGCGGCCTCCTCCGGCGACAGGACCATTCGCCACCCGGTTTTTTTCCTTAAAATGGCCACAATCAAACCGCTGGCTAAGTGACGACTTCATATTAGCTATTAACGCACTCATGTTAGCTTTGCTGTCAACCACGACATATCAAACATGTTGTGGTGTTTAAAAAAAACAACAACATGATGAACCTGTTCCACACACACGCACAACCACGACATATCAAACATGTTGTGGTGTTTAAAAAAAAAAAAACAACATGATGAACCCGTTCCACACACACGCGTGGCTGAACTTGATTCTGCATCGACAATATGATCTTCTGTCTCGAACGATGATCATTTCCCGTTTCGTGGGCATCGACCAACTTAAGGACGATGTCAGAAAAAGGGCGTGAAAGCCAAACGGAAAGAGACATTTTTTTTTTTTGGGTGGCCATTTTTTTATTTTCTAAATCTAGGCATCATTACATTTAGGCCACAATGGGAATTGCTTTTTGAAGCTCTTTTCATGTTACACCTGCAAACCATTCCAAAAGATTTCTCGGTACAATTGAGCACGATGGCTTTTTGTTATCATTTCAATCCACTTTGCATCCGGTGCCGGCGCGCCCGGCCGAAGGCAAAGTGGATTAGCGGGCCAAAACAAACATTGGAAGGCTTAGCGGGAGGTGAACTTGCCTCAGAAACCCAAGACGGTCGTCCCGGCCAAAACGCTCGTGACTCTTCTGTCAAACGGGAGATGAATTTTGATCCAAGGCGTTTTGGATTGCACGGAGCAAGTTGGATGAGGTGCGCTCGGCTCACCCGGACGGATGCGACCTTGTCGTCGTTGCTCCCAAGTTTTCTCGCCTGCGCTCGGTCGCTCTCTCCGCTGGTTTGTCCGCTCCGGTTGTTGCCGCCTCCAGCCTGTCGGAATTAATTGCGCATAAGTCTCTCCGCACCCTTACGAGGTTTTGCTTTTCAGAGATGGCGACAGAGACTGGAGGAGTCACAGAGAGGCAGACCGGTGGACATCCTCAGACAATTTCGTGGCTCAAAGAGCAAGTTGGGCAAAAAGTCTTTTGACATTTACACACTGATGTTTCCACAAGGCCAAAGGTCACTCGTAAAGGGCAAAATGCATTTGAGAATTCAATGAATTACGAGTCTTTTTTTTAATGGGTGCACACTCACGGGTGACGTGCAGCAGGGTCGGTCAGAAGACGTCGAGGTGAGAGTGTGTGTGTGTGCAGATTCTAAGTGGGCTGAGAATATGGCCCAGGGTGAACGCCGGTCGGTCACTTTTGAACTGATTTTTGACAGTTATAAATGGAAAACGACAACAGAAGGGACCATGTGCTCAGGATGCCATTTATTTGAGGTTACATTGCCTACTTGATCATAAATACGATTTAAAAAAAAAATCCATACCCACGGAACTCCAGTCGTATTTGTGTCCATTGTGTGGAAGCTGCCTGCGGTTGAAGTCGCGCCTGAAGACGGGCG